ACACAGTGGTCTCAGGGTATCAAGCTGGACCGAACCGAAAGCCTTGTAAAATTGGAAAAACACACGTCTCATTCTTTCCAGTAGAGAAGCCTGAGTGTTGGGGCTGGAGATGGAGCTCAGAGGCAGAACACTTGCCGAGTGTGCACACGTCCCTGCGTTCCATTCCCAGCTCCACAAATAAATGAAGATCCCAAGTCTCCATTGATTTCTTTCCCATGAGAGAGACTCTGCTTTGTCCTAGCCCAAGGATGTTCCAGAATTGTTACCCCCTCTCCCCACTCCCTGGGGCAGCATCTGGATTATTCAGAAACCTAGAAGATATGGGGAGGGCATGAATCTTTTAACGAAAAGATTGCTGGGAAATCAGCCAGGAAGTAGATGAGAGAAAATGAAATCTTATTCAAATGTGTGCACTCCACAGCAGTCTCCTCCACAGTGCTTCCTCGGGCTGCAGAGGAAGCAGGCGCTTTTGTGATGATAGTGTTGAACTTAAAACACAGTAAAATATTTGGAGGAGAAAGGAGAAACTCAGAGAGCTCCATAATTGTTTTAAATTAAGAGCACCTTCCCAATGTTAATGACCTCAGTTCAGATTTGCCTTTTGAGTTGTCTTGGTAACCTCGACACCTCCAAGCTTCTGGCAAATGTCCCAAGGCGATTTTGGAAAGATTTATACTTGCGTGGGACTAATTTGGTTTGGGGGCCTTCATTTCTTTCACATCTTCTCATTGACTCTTCTAGTTGAATGGAGGACAGCGAGTCAATGAACGGAAATTAAACATGAACGTTCTTCCCTGTGCAATTAGTTCAGGGCACGATTCATAAAAACTCAGACACAGGAACTGGAGTTCAGCCTGAAAGTCAGCAAAGCAAAATAGCCAGCCACCAGCTCTCACCTCAACCTCAGTCTGAAATGGCGATCCTGCCTCCAGGAGTCTCAGAAGGAACTGTGAGTGAGAGCTGTCTCCTCCCGTCCTATTCCTCTCTGGGGCAGGGATTAAGGGTGTGCCCCACTACCACCCGGTTTCTATGGCAACCTAGTGTGGCTACTGGATTAAAGGTGCCTGTCACCACTGCCTGGTCTGTAAAACTCACCAGCTGTTTTACTCTCTGAACTTTGGGCACGCTTTATTTATTAAAATATAAATGAAACATCAGCACACTGATCCCAGCAAAGCTGCTGCTGCCCTAGACTAAGCCCAACCAGAGCGAGAACACAAGAAACAACTCGTTAAGCAAGCAGCTATTGCCTCACGTGGAGTGCCAGGAGGGAGGAAAATATTTGAGCCAAGTGAACTGCAAAAGCCCGAGTAAAGCGGCCGCACGACACATCAAACTTCAACAAAAACACCGGTAGGAGCAGAAAGGCTCAGGAGAACTGTGGGGGGTAGAGGTGATTTCTCCAGGAAGTGCAATGTCAGGAACACAGAAGTTGAAGGGAACATACATGTGGCTGTCAGCAGTGAGCTGCAGGCTGGTGGGGCCTCACCCAACCTCCTCTGCTGCTCACTGGGACCATTCTGAATCAACCATCAGCTGGGCTTGTGAGATGGGGCAAGGGTACTCACCAAGCCTGGGGGCCTGAATCCAACCTTCAGAACTCACGTGGGGATGGGAGAAAACTAATGTCCGCAAGCTATCCTCTGACTTATAAATATAGCAAATAAATAAATGCTATAAATAAGAAAAAAAGTGGAAACGGTAAGTCATGTGATCTGGAGGTGCCTGCTTCTAGAGTGCTTGCCTATCACGAACAAAGCCCTGGATTCCATCCCCAGCATTGTGTAAACCTGGTCATACACTGTTAATCCCAGCATTTCACCCCAGCTACAGAGAGTCCCAGACCAGTCTGGGACACATGGGATCCCGTCAGGCAAATAAAATAAAAAAGAACCAATCAATTAACAGGGCATCATATGGGAAGACCAGAGTGGATAGGCCTTCTTAAGTGTGAGACATCACTGTGCTAGTGAGGGCACAAGGAACCTGTGTCAGGCTTGCAGGCCCAGCGAGCGGTAGAGGTGACCAGGCCCAGTTGTCACGCATGCTCCCTCGTGCCGTGGCAGATGCCATGATCTAAAGACAGAGCAACTTGGGGAAGAAAGGTTGATTTCAGCTTACAGGTGAAGTCCACCAGGAAGGGAGGGCGAGGCAGGAATCATGTGGGAGCTGGCGCAGAGGCCACGGAGGAGGGCTGTTTACTGGCTTGCTTTTCCTCGCTGGCTTGGCTTGCTCCTTTCTATTGCAGGACCATCTGCCCAGGGGTGGTACCACTCAGAGTGGACTAGGTCCCTATTCATCCATCATCAGTCGAGAAAATGCCTCCCAGACCGATGCCCGCAGGCCCATCCGATGAAGGCATTTTCTCAACTGAGGTTCTTCTCCCCAGATGACCCTACTTTATGGTAAATTGACAAAAACAAAACCAAACAAAACCAAAAACCTACCCGTCTGTGTTTACTCCTACTGTGTGCTAAGCTTCAGATCTGTTTCTCGTGGTCTTTTCTGAACAATCAGTGAATATGTCTGCTTGGACCTGTGACAAAATGACAAGATGTCTTCCTGGGTTTACCCAAGAGAGCCTTGGCTCTAAGGGATCTTTTTCCGCTCCTGGTTACTCGGACCCCTAGACCAGGCTATCTTCTGAGTTAGGATCTTTTGCAGATGGCAAATGTGCTCCCAAGCACTGTCTGTCAGTCCAGTTTCTTCAGCAACTATTTTGTTCTTTCTTCACTTTTCCCAGATTCCTCTCAGGCTCTCAGGCACACTCTGCTTGCCCTGCGGTCGCTGAAGACATGGAAGCCATCAGACAGGAATTCTCTCGGCTTCCCATCCCCACCCTTTTCTGGCAAAGGCCAGGAACCGCTCTTGCTTCCTAGGGGTCTCATTCTCTCACTCATCTTAGTAAAACATTTCACTACTAACCAAAGCAATGACACTAATTAAGCCAACACTTTGAAATGCTTGTGTATAAAATGAAGATTATTGAACCTGCAATGAAAAACAAAACCCAGGGGAGGCAGCAGTATTAATATTTGTTATTTGCTTGTGAAACTTAGATTATTCATTCCTATAGCTGATTCCTGTCTAGGGTGACCATGGAAGTTTGTCTTATGTGTGCGGCTCTTTTGCCTGTGTGTGTGTGTGTGTGTGTGTGTGTGTGTGTATGTCTATGTGAGTGCGGTGTCCAAGGACACCCGAAGAGTTCATGAGATTCCCCTGGGACTAGAGTGACAGACAGCTGTGAGCTGCCATGTGGGTGCTGGGAATTGAACCCAAGTCCTCTGGAGGAGCAGCCAGTGCTCTTAAGTGCTGAGCCATCTCCCCAGCCCCTGGAAGTTTTGATTCTACTTTTCTAGTTGACACTGTTTGGGACACACTCCACCACTGCTGTGGCAGCTCTCTGTTCCCTCGTCATTGTACTTTTCTTCCTAGGCCACGGTTGAGAACCCGCACGCCATGTCTAATGCCAAAGTCTGCCTGTCATCAGCTGAACTCGAACTTCCTTCCAGCAAACAAAAAAGTTGGGCTGTTTCCAAAAGGCTCTGTCTCCATGGCAATCATGTTCGCCTCACAAGGGTGACACAGTCTAGGTGTCCTCTTTCCCCTCTTATTAAGAACCAGTTCAGCCACTGACTTTACTCTGTGCTCATCTAAGCCTGGCCTGTTGTGCACCCGGCACCTTATCTCCTCCAGCTGCGCCACAGGGGTTGTGGTGGAGGCCATGGGTGGCGGCGCCATCTTCTCTGCCTCGGCAACATCTCTCTCTCCCGTTCCCACTCCCTTGCCTGCTTAAGATTCTAGTGGCATCTCCTTCCCTGAAAAACAAACACTCCCATCTTTTCTGCCCAGGCCTCAAACTGCCTTTGTGCCTTCCAACCTCGCTAGGATATTTGTGCTCCTATAGAACACCCTTGCTTGGAGCTGGGCACAGTGGCGTACGCCTTTAATCCCAGCACTAGGGAAGCAGAGACAGGTAGATCTCTAAGCTTGAGGCCAGCCTGGTCAACAGAGCGAGATCCAGGACAGCCAGGGCTACACAGAGAAACCCTGTCTCAAAAGCAAAACATAACGAAAACAGTGTTGGGAGCAGTGAGACCCCAGATCCTGAATTTCTTGTAATCCCCTGATCTGAGTGCCTACAGCTGCTCTGAGCACGAGACCTTCAGGAGTTCCTGATGGCAGGAGAGTGGTTTCTGGTGGGTTTGGCTGGGGCGTGGCTATCTCTATATAATCTGCCCTGAACGCAATAAAGGGGCATTCTTGGGGAATTCAAGGATGCCCCTGTCGCTGTCTATCTGTCTGTGTGTGTCTGTGTATTTTAACCTCCAGCCTCCTTGCCCGAAGCTCATGAATTGGGTGCCAACGCACAGAGCGGAGACATGGGGTCACGGTGTGCGACAGACAAAATCGAACCATGGTCCGGCATCCGGGCTTTCCTCTTCTCCGCTTCTACCGAGTTTGCTTCTTCTCTGCTTCGTCTTCACATCCTTTCCAGGTTTGAGATTCTCAGTCTCCAGTGTCGGCTTTCTCTCCTTATATTCTGTCAGCTCTTTCAAGTACCCACAACCACACCTACATAACACTGACCTCCCAAGCCAATGCCTTCAGCTTAGACTGGCTGAGAGCCTCGGCGGTGTGGACTCCATGCTGCGTGTGTGTGTGTGTGTGTGTGTGTGTGTGTGTGTGTGTGTGTGTGTGTGGTATGGTGTGTGGTGTGGAGAGGTGTGTGGGGCCGTGTGTGTGTGTGTGTGTGTGTGTTTGTGTAAAAAGAAGCATAGTTCAGGGGCAGACACAGAGGTGTTCCTGCAAAGATTTGTTCAGTGAGTTCACCGTCTTCCACCACATCCTCTCCCGCCATCAATGTCCTCCCGCAAGGGCTGTTCTAAAGAGAATACCTCCATTCACAAGGAAAACAAAACAGAGTCTCATAAAATTTATAAAAGCCAGGAGACTTTGTTTTTACAAACATATAAATTATTTTATTTACAAAGCCATGTTACAAAAAAAAAAAAAGCAAAAAAAAAAAAAATACAATCGTTCAGTGGAAAAAAGCTTCCAGACCTGGTGCAGACTACAGCAGGATCACAGATACAGTTTCGTTCTCTCTTTGAAAACCTGTAAGCCATAGAGTTTACTATTTACACCTACTTCGGACACGTATTTGCTTACAACGTCACAGGCATGGAATGGATTCTATCTGATAGTGCTAATCCGTAAAGGTGCGGGATGACGGAGGGAAATGCTTAGTGTTACAAAACGCGGATCATAGAAAAGAAACCCACGCCACGAGTGTAGCCTTGGTTGAGTAGGATCAGACATGCTCTCTTCAAAATTCTTCTGGAAAAGCTTCTAAAATTGGTTAGTAGGAAAGGACAAATGGACAGGTGCAAATTCTAGTCTGTGCAACAATGGTTATTTAATTCACCCCATGACTGACCAGCTACATAAAACCCACAGAGTTTCGTTAAAGTGCCATGGGCTGACGGCATAACAAAATATAAGGTGTAAATAGAAAATTTCCTTTTTTCCTTTTTTTTTTTAACAAGAGTTCACTGAGAATCAGCAATAATAGAATACGCTGTATAAACTATTTCCTACAAAGGCTGATCAGCGTTATTTACAGTTGGTACATTGATACAAAAGAAGGCATACAAGTTATCCAACTCGATTTTTTGATTTTTAAATTTTATATGGCTGACAGGTCTATGTGGAGGCTGAGACGAGTCAGGAGCTCCTCAGGCAGACAGGGGTGTGAGCAGCCAAGGGGCCGAGACGGAAGGCTGAGTGGGGTGTGGGGAACAGAAAGACCGGAAGGGACGACTCTCCTGATGCGGTAGGTGTTGGTCCAGTGGAATCCATGAGAACAAACACAGGAAATCTTTTCTTTGCATTCCATTAGTTTTTTTCCTAGCTACAAGCGTTTATTAAAATACATCAAAACGTAAACTCGGGGCTAATTGTGAACGAAGAGATACCGGGGTTTTTCCCTTTTTGCTCAGTTTTCTGGAATCGTCCTCACCTTTTGGTCAAAGCGGTCTCTCAAGAAAGTAAGCAGCATTAGGTGGAGAGCCTCTTTATTGCGGCTTCCGGTGCAAGACCCAGGGCGGACCTTGCTGAAGCCTGCTTGCTCCCTCCGCCTCTGTGAAGTCGCGGTTCCTTGGAAGCAGCATGTCACCTCACAACCTTCGGTTTCCCTCTCTGAATAGAAGAGTTTAGGGGCCAGAGGCTTATTTTGTTGCTGAGACTTGTTTTGTTTTTAATCCCGCAAGTTTTACAACTCAAAATAAATTATGTATTTATATTTATATTATTTATATATATATAAAACAAGACATCTAAAACCGAACAAGACAAAAATTGTGCAAAAATAACAAAGATATATACACACTTTTGAGTCTGAAGAAATGTACAATAAAAACATAATTCAAAGAACATTTTAAAAATATAAACATTGCTCAAACTTTCCGAAGTTTCATATTGTTTCTGAAACTATTCTGGTCAGTTAGCTCTGTAATATAGTAAAACATAAATTATTACAAAATTAACACTATAAAAATTTACTTTAAGAATATCTTCTAAACTTTTTTTCAATGGATCTAACCTTGTTTATAATTTCTTAAACATTTATAAGTCTTAAAATCTGCCTTAACCTTAAAAAACAACAAATACCCCCCCCAAACAAAAACGTAACAATCACCCCTTAAATTTGCAGCCCCCACCCCCACCCCGACGTAAATTGACCAGCATATAAGTGCACTTTTAACACTGGAGAAAGAAAAACAAAATAACCCAACCAATGTCCTGGTGCTTAACGTCAACTCCCGACTTAAAAAAAAAAAATCTTCATTTTCTATTTAAAAATTTAAGAATCCTGTAAGAAACACTGTCAGTGCAAGTCCAATGACGGACATCACTCCTTTCTCCTCCCATCTTTGCAGATTCCAACTCTGTGGTGAGACTTAACAGTAGTCTGATCTTTGGGTTGGGAGAAGAGGAATGGGAATGGCGTCTTTGGGGAGGGACGGGGGTGTGCCCAGCTGCGAAACTAGCGTTCACTTCTGATTTCAGGATGGCGCGGGTGGGCGGGCGTCTGGCAGATCAAAGCCGGAGTACCTGTTCCGTGTACCAAACTCTCTTTCTCATTCCCCATTGGAGCTGCTGTTTCTTTCAAGACTCCAACGTGAAGGGCTTAATAGCCGTGGTGCTCCGGTGCCTCCCTGCCCACACCTCTTCTCTATCTCTGGCTGGTCTGTCTGAGTTGGAGTGCCTGAGGATGGAGGGCAAGCTTATCTAGGGTGTGGGTTTGTAACCAATAATAGTTCTTATTCCCACAAGGAGTTTGGCACAAAACCTCCACGCAACCAGACTTGTCTCTGGAGGACCCTTCCTGGCCCCAGAACCTTCCCGATATCTCAAGCATTTTCAGGAGCTATGGCCACAGTGTCACCTTATGAAGTGACTTCCCTAGGTCCTGTGGGCTTTCTGTCTCTGGCTGACCCAGCTTTAGGAAACTGTGCACTGTGCCCTGCTTGGAACGAACTCTCCAGAGTATATTCCAGACAAGCTCTGACCATCACAATCATGGGGTTCTCACCATCTCAGGTCCCTTCTACCCTTTTACCCTTCTACCTGACCCGGTGAATCTTTTCTGCACAGCTGGGCCTTGGCATTGAGGAAGCCACACCATGAAAGGGCCACTGACCTCACTCTAGTGGCTGGCATTTGGCTCTGGACAAGGAGCGCTGGGGAAGGTCCACTCCCACCCCACAGTGCACCTCCAAGCACAGGCTCCTCCCCAGCGTGTGGTCCAGAGCTGCCGGTGGGTGGGAGCTAGCAGCTTCCGATGGCCTCCGGAGCACAGTGACCCAGAGGTGGAGAGGAAGGGCAGGGTGGGAGAGGACTCGGGAGAGCGTGAGCTCTGCAAGCGCTAAAAGTTCAAGAGCTTCCGTGGGTGCCAACCTGGAACCGGAACCCGGAACCGGAACCGACAGTTTGCACCTCTGTGCTCAGGAGCAAAATGACGGTGCACTAGCAGCATCAGGAGGAAGGGGGGTAACCCCGAATATGGAAGAATGTATAAGACATGACAAGTGAAAACAGAGAAAACACTTTCAGTAAATCTCCCATTCAGGCTCTTTTGCCTTGTCTTTCATTTCTTTCTTTCTTTCTTTCTTTCTTTCTTTCTTTCTTTCTTTCTTTCTATTAAATATCCATGTTAAAAAAAAAAAAGAATTAGAAGAAGAAATGCCAGAGCCACAAGCAGCGTCCAGGAATCACTCCCCCCACAGACCTCCCTTCTCCCGACTTAGTCTCCTGGGGAGGATGTCCACCGGGACTGGTTCGAAGTGGCTTCACCATCTTGTTAGGGAAGAGCCCTTATCCTGCCCATTCTGCTTGTGTTCTTCTAGGAAAGAAAAAGAAAAAAAAAATGTGTCTCATTCAGGGTGATCCATGAAAATCCAGGAGGGCACCTCCGTTTTCTTGTGTGTCACAGAACGGAGAAGAATCCACTGCCTGGATGTGGCTAAGAGTAGCCACACTTTGTAACTAAGAGGACAGCTATAAAGACGTCCATGGTTAGTGAAGGTAGCTCCGAGGCTGGAAACGTGGGGACAAGAGCGTGGCTTTCATGAGCTCTCTCCTGGATAAAGGGCTGGGATAACTGCATGTTTTCTCTGCGCCTTCCTTTTTATTGGTTCATTTTTTTCAATATATTATGAATGACACAGTTAGTTAGCTAATGAAGGTAGAGCCCTGGGTTAAACAGGTTTTGGAGATTTGGGGTGGGTGTGGCTAATTTCGGTGTGACTCAGCTTCAGCTGAGTACAACCTTGTTCTTCCAGTCACTACCTGCTGCTTGTGTTTGCTACTCCTTCTGTGAGGCGTAACTGCCTCCCTCGCCTTTTCCCCAGGCCTGAGCACATAGCCCTTTGGAGAAAGTCACTGATCTCTGGGTTTACACATTGATCACTCTTACTTCTCCTAAGTGAATCAAAACATAATGGTCATTACAGCTAACACTTGACTTTGCTACGTGCCAGAGTGTTTTAGCTATTTTTCAGAGACTTTACATCAATAAGCTGGTTTAACCTCACATAGGTCATAGAACCTTGGGGACCATCATGATCCTCACTTTATAGAGGAGGAAATGGGGGAAGCAGATTGCTCAAGGACCCACAGCTAATCACAAGAAGGTCCATGTTTGGAAGCCAGGTTATCTGCTCTGCTGGAGGTGAGACTTGAACTTCCGACACCAGCGCCCGCTCTTACTGGTCTGACGCTGGCCCTGTGTGGCTTCCCCCACCCCTAGAAACTTACCTGACGGCTGTGTCCTGGGCTGGATAGGCTTGCAGGGCTGGATTGGGACAAAGCTAGGCTGCTATTTTTTCCAACCTGAAAGACACCGTGAACTCCCATTCAGACACGGAGGCAAACTCAAGAAGACCCTCTGACGCCATATGTTGTCAGGACAGGCAGGGGAGGAGGGCAGTACTACAGGTGTTACTCCCTCGATTACTCAGAGTGGATGATTCCCACTTAAATGTCAGAAAAAGGGACAGCAGTTTATGAGCACTTTTAAGAAGTCCCTCTCCCAGAGTTCTTAATTTCACCCCTCGGATGTGCACACTGCAGGAGGCAGGGCTTATCCCTCTGCAGCTCAAGAGACCACAAACTCATGCATCTCTGAGCACAGTGCAGGCCCACCATGCTTCTAGCCCTGGCTCCTCAGGTCTGTTTGGCTAGGGGGTCCAGGATTCAGCCTCTGGTTCTTCAGAAAACCAGTTATGCTGGGCTGCTGTTGCATGTGCAGGGAAGGAGGGGAAAGGGTACTTTGTCCTGCCTGGCAGGGTCCCTGGGATGGCAGGCCTGGGGTCATAGATGACCTCTCTTTGGGTCTGTCCTTGTCCCCTGGTGCAGTGGGCTCTGAGAAGAGCTGGTGCCAGGGTCCAGTCCCATGGTTCCAGCTCATTTGCAAAGGGGGCTCTTGCCCCCAGCCTCCAAACAGCCCCTCCACTATCTTTGCTCCCCCTTTGAACACAGGCACCCACCTTTCGCTCCGAGTACTGCTCTGTGTCCTGTTTAATACCCTGGTGGAAGTTTGGGGCCTTTTACTTCCCAGACACAGTTAGGAGAACCTGAGAGTTCTCTGCGAGGCACAGAGTCTCATTTTGGATTTCTTTTTGAGTCAGGATCTCGTGTAGTCCTGGCTGGCCTGGAATTCACTGTGTAGCTAAGGACGACCTTGAACTCCTGATCCTCCATCTTCCCATTGTTGGGCTGCCGTACCTGGCTCTCATCTTGGGTTTCTGGAGCTTTCCTCTCTGAGTCCTAACAGAACCAACACAGCTGCCAGAGGCCTTTTCCTTTTCCTAAGACATGGAAATAAATGCCCAGGGGTGACTCCAGCCAAAGCCTTCTTTCAGTTGCCCGGTGACAAACATCGCTGTCACCGTGTTGAGGGTTGGTGCAGCGTGGCTCCTGGGGCACATTCTCAGGGAGGCTCATGGGCTCTTCTGCTGCTAGCTGGACTGACTCACCGTGCCGACTGAGCGTTTCAGACAGTCTGGGAGCCAAACAGCCAGCACTCAATACCCAGGCCCTTCAGGCTTGACAGGAAGACCCAAGAGCCCAGAGTCAACTCCCAGGTTTAGGTCTCTGCTCCACTGTTCGCTTGCTGTGTGACTTTGGGAAGCTCGAGTAAATTCTCTACGCCTTGCTTGGCTCATGTATATAAAAATGGGTTAATAGCAGGTTAGGTACTGAGTTCCTGGACCTCAAGGGTTTGGTACAGGGAGCATCAGTGACGTGTAGTCGGCCAATAGAACTTTATCTAAAATGAGGAAAGCAAGGCAGCTTTGCAGCAGCAGGTAAGATCCACAGGCAGGGGAAGTGGCTTCACCTGTTGGCTTCCCCACGGACTCTGCTCTTACTCCCAGCCTGTTCACCCTCAGCCTGCCTTTTCACAAGACCCCAGTGTATCTGTGCACATGCATTCCAGTATAAGAAGCTGTGTGCCTCCTTCTGAGTCTATAGAAGACCCCGGTTAGCAATCCAGTCTCCGGGTAGGATCTGGAGGGTGCCAGCTAGACATGACATTAAGTGACCCATGTCTCACCATGGCCAAGGCTGCAGCTGTCTGGCCCTTGCTCATGCGTGCTTGTGAATCCCTCCCAGAAGGTGCTCTTCTTGGGGCTTTGCTGAATGTCTTACTTGGTGACACAAAACAGTGGTTCTCAACCTGTGGGTTGAGGCCTTTTGAGGGGGCGGGGTCGCAGATCAGACACCGAAAAGTAGCAAAATTACAGTCATGAAGTAGCAAGACAAATAATTTTATGGCTGGGGGTCACCACAACATGAGGAACTGTATGAAAGGGTCGTGGCATTAGGAAGGTGGTGACCCAGCACATTAATGCATCTCTTCTCCTCTCTCTCTCTCTCTCTCTCTCTCTCTCTTTCTCTCTCTCTGAAATTCCCATTTCTAAGCAGGGCTGGTCTTAAGGTCTATTAGTTCCCTGGTGAAGGGTGGTTCTCAAAGCCCACTTGGAGGAGGCCAAGGAACCTGGGGTCCTTCCCTCCAGCTCTGAGCTCCCATCAGGTAGAGGGGTGTTATCAGCAGCTCTCCCAGGCTGCATAGGTAGCCCGAATTTGGGGAACAGGAGTAGAGTTCAAGGAAAGATACAGCTATTCTTTGGCCAGCCACACCTCCCAGCTTCCCTACCGTACACACTCTTGTGGGTATCCTGGCACTGAGTGCTTCTTTTGCTAGCTCTGCCTTGCTGGGTGCAAGGGGCACTTTTGCTTTAGGAAGGGAGGGAGGTTGAGGCAGCCTGAGGTGAGGACAATCACCTGGAAGCTGGGAGATCAGGCTGCCACTCTCCAGGGACGTGGGGGGGGGGGGCTGACATCATTTAACCAGTCTGGGTCTCAGGCTCGTCCTGAGGGGATCCAACAGATCAGATCAAATTTCTTAGCAACAAAACGCTTTAATGAAGTTGTCCTCGGAACCTCAGGATATGAAACAGACAAAAGGAATGGGGGAACTCAGAGCCTCTTTGGGTCCCAGTTTACCCATCTGTAAAGTGACGACCGTTTTTTGTGCCCCGTGCTGGGCTGGCGTGAGGACTAAAGGAAGTGAATACTGTAAAGTCCTGCGCACAGGGACCAGCAAAGTGAGGGTCTGACTGTCAAGTCCTGCACACAGGGACCAGCAAAGTGAGGGTCTCACTGACTGTAAAGGGCTGCGCACAGGGACCGGCAAAGTGAGGGTCTCACTGAGAACCCTCAGAGCAGAGGACGCGCATTGCCTATGGGGAACCTGGGGAAAGGAGCCATGCTTTTGTTGCTTGCCTGAGCCACCTGGCCAAGCAGGGGCACTGCCCAGCTCCCCCTGCCCCCCAGAGCTGATGAAGGCAGTGCCAGGATCTCCCTTACCTGCCGAGAGGAGGTGCTGTTAACGGGATCGGGCACCGGTGCAAGAAGGCTGGGTGGGTTCTTTTTGTGGACACTATTCATACCAGGCATTTTAGTGATCTTACAGGCTTTGCTACTAGGGCTTGAATTCTTACGCTTTTTTCCTTCTGATTTGTCAAAAGAGAGGGGCAGAGAAGACACGGCGTTGTGTGAGGCCAGAGAGAGGTCCCCCGCGTGGAGCGCAAGGGAGGGCACAGAGAGGGGACAGGGGCCACTGCTGCCACCCACAGCGCCCACCTGTCTCACTATGTCCATGGGGCTGCTGGGCAGTGAGGTCCGTCCTGAGGGCTCCAGCTTGGCACTGAGTGGGCTCACCCCGTTGTTTGTGTGCACAGACAGACTGTTGTAGGGAGGGGCTGCCTGATAGGAGTTCAAGGAGGAACTGGCGTTCAAAACGCAGTTCTTTCTGTGGGGCCCTGGCAATGGGGATGAGAAGGAAGCCTGCAAGGACAAGGAGGAGGAGGAGGAGGAAGTTGAAGACTGCGGCTTCCTCTTTCTGTTACTTGGAGATTCCTCGCTACTACGAGCTGACAGGTCTTTGACTTTTGAGGATTTGCTGGTTTTGGTTTTGGATGGCTTGTGGGACGGGGAAGGAATGACAGCTGGTATCGGGGACACGGCGGAGGGGGCCTTGAAGGTTGAGTCCATGATGCTGAGGGTTGCAGCCACATGGGGAAAAGCTGTGGTGTGGGACATGAGGACGCGTGGGTCCGGCGATGCCACAAAAGCCGCGTCTGAGAGCATGGCGGATGTCATGATGTAAGAAGAGGTGAGTCTCGAGCTGATGGGAGCTGAAGGAAGATACACAGCACCGGGGTTGCTGAAAGGCTGCAAAACGGATGCTGGAACAGGGGTGGTGATGTGGGCTGCTGGCGAGGGCATGGGGCTATCTGCCGCAGGAGGGATCTTCCTAAACACGAGAGAAGAGCCAAAGAGAAACAGTGAGACGTCGGGTGGGCATCGCCTGGGTGGGGGGGCCGGGTGAGCTTTGGTCGGCAGGGCTACAGAGGACACCCGGTAGGACCAGACTATGGAGAATGAAGCCTTGACTGATGGTGAGAACTGGAGGATGGCTCTTTCCTACGCTGGCCACTAACGCAGCATCAGCACCTGTCTCCACGCCTCAGACCCTGCTCTCTCTGCTCAGCGACTTAAGATCTGGGTTCACGAGGAAACGGCAAATGCTGTCAAGACTATAAATGTCCTGAGCAGTCTCCCCGCCCTCACACACCACTAGCAGTGATGAAAGTGGTTTTCAGAGAGGAGAAAAGGCCTTGGCCACCTGGGCATGCCCCTCTCTCCTCACTGCAACCTCTTCCATTCCTCTTTCCCATGCTATGTTTGGCTGGAGATATTTTGAAAAGAAACCATCTCCTAACTTGCCAGCATTCTTTTCTGCTGGTTGCCCAATGCCTCTGGCTACTCCATAGAGAGGCATTTCTCTTTTTAGCTCATGGCCACTGGATTGTGGTGGCCACGGAAAGTCAAGAACTTGGAAAATGATATCAAGTTGCCCATCTCTCTCTCCCTCACTCTACTTCAGTGGGGTTGACACACAGATGCCCTACAAGTCCTCCTGCTCCTGGGCTGGGACAAGGCGAAAGTTCTGAACCAGTGTGCCCAGAAGGGATCAGGACTTTGGATACTGGCAGAAGGCCAGCCTGTGAACAGGGGCTCAGAGAGCCACTGCTTTCTTAGAACTGATGGGGGATTGAGCCTGAGTGCGAAGCCCATGGACTAATGCCAGCACCAGGCAGGCAGAGTATCATTCTTAAGGCCTCTGCATGTATTTCTGCTTTTCAGACAGAACCCCACTATGTAGACCCTTGAATTTGTGGTCTTCCTGCCTCTACGTGTGGGATTACAGTTACAGGTATGTGAAAGCACCTAGCCATAAAACTCTCTGCCTTCTGGCATGTGCTGTAAATGGCTCCATGTGTATCTTATGACTTAGGTTCATGCTGCTGCTACTCTTGGGACCTGGAGATGATAGCTACGGCAGCTATGGGATCACAGCTGATTCTGAAAGAAGTAAGTGGTGTGAGGAGCCAGAGAATGCTTTGTTATTTTCTGCAGAGCTCTCTGCTTGCTCCCCAGTGTGTGTCTTCAGGAGATTTCCTTCTCTGAGGTAAGTTCCTTTTCTCAGGAGGTAAACTTGAGGCATAGGGCAGAGGGGCATCACACTGTCCCTTCTCCTCTGCAGGCCACCTCCAGCTGAGAAGAGGCCCTCTCCTGATTCCCCTCTGAGGATCATTTGTCTGTCCCTTGTCGTAGAGCCTGCAGCTTGGCTTCCATCTCTAGGGTGGAACCCAGCAGCATCCTTCAGTGCGGAAGCACAGTGTCTCTGAAACTGGCAGACCAAGGAGATCGAATACAAAAGTGTTGCCAAACCCCAGGCAGTCGTGATGGCGTCTGAGAGCTTCCTTCTTCTCCAGCCCCTGGGGACCTCAGAGCTCCTGCCATCCCTAAGTAAGATGCTGCACAGATAGATCCCGGCTGTGATGGATGAATGAGGGTATGGACAGATGGATGAGGGGGCGGAGGATGGGAAAGCAGGTGATCTGAGCAGCAACACAACTGTATTGTCAGGGACTATGCATGCTGGGCAGGGATTCCCATGGAGTCAGGCCCTGAGGGTCGGCACACATCCTCACAACTGTCTGGCCCTGCACAGCCCTTCCCTGAGAGGGTGGGGACACTAACAACTCCTCTGCTGTTTCTGTGACCCTACTGTAATACTGCAGGTGCCCCCGCTGCTGCAATGTGCTCCCTAGGGGAATTTACAAGTCCCAGGTCATTAATTTACTTAAGGGGGTGGGGCTTCACTTCGGGACCTTCAATGTCACGTCCCGAATGTTGGGAATCTTAATGTCCCAATTTATATTTTGCTCATTAAACAGTATACATACTTCATATTCTGCAGACAGGCAGAATTGAAGTCCTAAATCTTACTTGGCCCCTGCTCTCAAGACTGGAATGGCTACAACTCCTCTCCTCTTCAAACCTCATTGGTAGAGGAGAAGTGGGAGGCGGGGCAGTCCCTGAGAGCTTTCTCCCCAATGCTAAACAGTTTCAGTGTTCCCTGGGTGCTCAATGGGAGGGGGTTTCACCTCAATGTGGGGGCCGCTGACTTAGGCTTTGCACCCTGGCCTACAGGAAGTCCCATATAAAAGCCCAGAGATGTAAATACACTCCTGACAGCTCCCGTCCGTCCTCCCCTCGCCAGCTGCCGTGGAGATCCAGATGCTGACCTGGCTGAAAGAGAATACTGTGTTGGCGGCTCCTGACGCAGAGTTAAGTGCTTGTTAAAGAAAAAAGAGTCTTGGCCGTTCCTTTTCTTCCTAATGTCTTCCATGCCCCCATCGGCTGCCATCCCTCCAGGTTCGGGCCCATCAGGGCCTGGAGTTTGGGCCCCGAGGCCGAGAGGGCAGCGGGGTGCTACGCTCTCCAGGGTTGACACCCAGGCAGCCCCAATGTTGCTCAGTGACAGCAGATTGGTTAGGCAAGTCCTGAACAGAGGGGAGGGACCTGATGCCCGGTGGCTCGGGCTTCTGTGCCTGAGGAGGAAAGGAACATGGAGCTTGAGCTGACAGTATACCAGCGCGCGAAATACAGACCAACACATTCCTTCCACGTGCCAGGGATTCACACTTCTATAACACAGGGGGCCCGCAGCGCTGGGAGAATCACCAGGGCTGGCTGCCGTGTTTGGAAGCTAAGGCAGAGGGCCAGGTCATCTGATAACCAAGAACTACATGATCCCTGGGCGGGACTTTCTGAGATCTTCTATGCATACAAACAGGAGCTAATGATGCCCTATAGACAGGCAGGGCAGTCGCCCGCGTGGGAAGACATAAGCTTCTCTTTTGGCCCTTTCCTAGTTGGTATAACAACATCTATACTAAGTCCCCTGTGAGTCCCCTGTGAGAAACAAGGCTCTGCTCAGGCGTGCAAAGGGGCTAAGGTGACAGAGCTGCCTTGGGAGAGAAGAAGGCTGTGGGCTCTGTTTCCTGTTTCTCAGGGTGTCCTGTGGCCTCTCTTGGGCCTCACTGGGCAGGCTCAGGGTCTCAAATGCTTTGGGGCCTTAGTCTGACATGATCCATCCTTTTAGCGGAGTACGCCAAAGCTCCCTTAGGAGGAACGCGGGGCAGGGACACTCGGAGCTCGGCTAATAGGGACAAAGCGTAGCTTCTTGTCTGCCATGGTTGAGAGGGTCCTAGGTGTCTCCCCTTTCTGTAAGTCCCTGTAGAGTGTAAGTGTGTTAGGAAACGGTGTAGACACCGGATAATAAACTGCAGGTTAGAGAAAGAGAAGGAGAGGTGAGGAGAGGGCCCTAGGGAGATGGGAAGGGCCAAAGACAAACTTAACCCACTTCACAGCACCGTTCAGAACCTGCCCTTTTAGACAACTGGACACAGTTTTTAACGAGAACAGCAACTAGCTAGAAATTTGTAACCATTATGAAGATTTTACTATATCTCCTGAACCCTTAACATCACAAACAGAAGCATATTCTTGACATCTTTAGATAATCTGAAAATAATTTAAAAAAACAAAACAAAACAGCAAAAGCCTATAATCCCATGGAATAGACAAGATCTTACCTAAGATCCTTTTCAACTGTTTGAGAAGCTTACCAACCCAACCATCCCAAGAAGACAACCCAAACAGCACATTATAGGTACCCTAGAAAGCTGTTCATTAGCACTGACATTTAGAACCGGTCAGGAGCCCTGACAAGCCAAGTGTTGGGACTTGTTCACAGAGTTTAGGCTTAGATAATAGCAAGGCAATTGTCAACTTAGACCACAAAGAAACGGCTCACTTACTTCCACATCTGTGAATTCAAGTGTTTCTCTACCATGGAGTTTAGTGCGAACCGAAACCGGTCCCATCTTCTATCAAAGACATAGTACCCTCGTCCCATGAGGCGACTCCCGAAAGAGCAGAACTGTGAGGGGGAAAAGAAAAACATTTTAATTGTGATTACAGGTTAATAAGCTAATATGAAGCACACAGAGAAAAATAACATTTGCATAAAAACACACAGGGGTACAATTTTGCTCAGAATAAAATAAGCGACTGGTACTGAAGCCAAAAATATTTCTGTGGCGCGGTCGGTGGAGCTGTGGATCCCGGCAGAACCTCGCATTTAAGCCAGCGATTGTGCCACTTGGAGAGTCTCACGCGTTACCTCTAAGATGGAGCCAGTATTTTAGGATAGAAAACAAGAGGACAGCTACGTCCAGAGAGACTTTGCAGCTCCAGCTCTTCATCACACGACCCATTATCTCCAGGAACACGGGGTTCCCTGCCCGCCTCCCTTTCTTCCGGGAAAGAGGATGGATGACTCCTCCTGTCTGAGGTCACAGAGCCAACCACTTCCTTCCTCTGGGAGCTGCCCTTCCATGCCAGTCCCAACTGTATCTGCACCATTTCATTTATTTTTATGTGCTTTGGTGCTTTGCCTGCATGAAGGTCTGCGTGAGGCTGTCAGAGCTTGGCGTTACAGACTGAGCTGCCATGTGAGTTCTGGGAAGTGAACTTCCTCTGTGAGAGCAGCCGGTGCTCTTAACCGCTGAGCTATCTCTCCAGCCCTTAAAACACGTCTGTTGTTATTGTTGTTTTGTTTCGTTTTTTTGAGACAAGGTCTCGATATGTAGCTCTGGCTGTCCTGAAACTCACTATGTAGACCAGGCTAGCCTCTAACTTACAGAGAACTGCCGGCTTCTGCCACATCTGCCCTCTTTATCTGCTCTCCGAAGATGCCCGGGGTGCACCACCCCTCTGAGCCCTTACCCAGTACCCTCTGCCTGATGTTTCCCTCTTTGGCAATTACGGTCCTACCCTTTGATGCTCATCTTATAATTCTCATTGCTAATGGCCTCGTCTGGCTGATCCTCCCACTGTGGACACTGACGACACATCTACAGTACATTACACTACATTTCACTTGGACTCGTTATAGCGTAGATGTAATTACATATGTGGTGGCTATCAATCTATAACGTGTAGGGACTTCGTTCTCTTCCTCCTCAGTCTAAGGATCATTGAGATTAGGAATTAGGAAAAAAAAAGAATTTTAGGATTTAGGAAGCTGAGGAGGGGAGCATTAATAGTTCAAAGCCAGCCTGAGCTACACAGTGAGAGCATCTAAAACATTTTTTTTAAAAAAAAAAAAAAAAAAAAGTGGACTGGGAGGAAAGGTTCCAAAGAAATGTCTAAAATAAACCACTGCATTTAACTTACAACTGAAATATCAGGAATGTAGTAAGCACTGGCTATAAGGCAGGACACCTGAGGGCTAGTAGACAGAAATGTAAGAAGCAGCCTCTGGGAAGGTGACATTTGCTGGGTCTAGAGCTCAGGGAAGCCTTCAAATGACTCTATAATTCAAATGGCACCTTCACATACCTCCCACCCCCAGGCCTCCAGCAGCTCCCTGGACGCAAGCCCAGACTCAGTGCTGGACTGGCACCCATTCCACAAATGCATCCTGGACCCGGCCTTTGAGCAGCTCTCAGAAGAATCTGACTGCAAGGTCTTCCATTTGTTCTGCTTCTGCTTGAGTTGGGGGGGGGGGTTGATATTAAAACCTTGCTACCCACAAAATCTGATACTGCAAATTATTTACTACAGCAAGTTCTTACTGACCAAGGAGGAAAACATACAGAGGAAGTCTTCAGCTCAGAAGCTGGCCTCCACCTGTCTGAGGGAGCTGCTCCTGGGGTAGCCATCACCTTATCTCTTGTCCCAATTGCTAAGGACACATTGAGCAAGAGTTTATTACAAATATATATGACTTAACGTGTCAATTGGCCATGAGAATTGGCCACAGGTTTTTCCATTTTAATCAGCAGAACATTAAGGACCTATGAATGCCTTGTGGATGTGGCTAATTTTCTATAACAGCTTGCCCTGTGGACAGACGTCTTGATGCTCTCCAGAGCCTGGCCTTTTGGGAGGGGCCAGTATCTCTTTCAGACTCGGAAGCTGGAGGCCCCTTTGGTTTTGGCTTCCAGTGTATCTAATAGCACTTAGATGTGAAGCCAGACAGCGAGAGAAGCTGGCACCGTGGGTCTCTGGCAGAGCGGCAGACCTCTCTGCTGTGCCCCCATCCCCAGCATCCTGACTTACGTGGCCCTGTCTTCCTGCTAACACCAGCGCACTTCTGACTTGATAACTTGTGTGCAGCAGTAACAGAGAAGATGTGTCTCCTCTCAGACCTCGGGGTGAGGTGCAGCTGGGTCACCACACTCTGCCCTTTCTCTGCCACCTGCCAGTGCAGCAGTAAATGTGTAACAGACATCTGCGTACACGGAGATGTCTGCTGGGGTTTCATGGAAAGCTCTTGTTTTGTGATGAAGAAAGCATAGCATCTCGGAAGACCCCTTTTTCCCTATGTCCCCTCTCTTCCCGTTTAGAATGCCACTAGGTGACAATGGAGCTGCAGGGGATGTGTTAACATGCGAACAGCCAAGGTATTCACAGATCGCAGAGAGGCTGAACCAAGATCGCAAGGGCACCCACTTCTAGACTTCCTACCATGTGAGATAATCTTGTGTGAATATGGAGGAGCCGGGTTTTCTACAACTGTAGGCAAAACCATTACAGCGAGTCCCCCACTATTTCTGTTCTGGCACAATCTCGGGTTATAGGTGAGCCATAGGTTGACATCATCTCCAGAAAGGGGAAGTAACTTACACAGAGGAGAAGGGGCCAGCCTTGTCTTCCAACAGGATTGGTTTCATTGATAAAGCCCCTGAGGTCTGAGTCAACCAGAGTTAATCCTGCAGACTCAGGCAAGCACCAGAATGAACCACCGTGGAGACCATATATTCCCAGGCCCCAGCACTGGGATATGTGGCTGTGGATCCCACCAACCACTTCCTTTCTCAGGGGGTTTGTGAGGCAAACGTGAAGAAGCTTCCAACCAATGCCTTAGTTTCCCCTCTGGCATGGATGACCATCTGAACTGTTGGAGCGTGCTCCTTCAGACAGCTTTTGTTAGCAAGCCACTAACAAAACTAACGTGAAACACTGCCCTTGCCACCCGCTCTGCTGCCGTGTGGTCATACTGCTTACTAACAACAATCACACAGAGCCGCCCGGGAGACTGAGCCTGAGCTGCTGCTCAGACAGCTTCAAGAGCAGGTGTGTCTGGCCAACTCTTGCCCAGAGGCTCTGTTTTCAGATGTGCAATGTCCGGTTGGCTACCAAGCAGTTTTAAAAGATGACAGCCATCTTCCCCCTCCCTTTCCTTCCGTGGTCAAGAACGTCTCTAATCCCATTCAGCCTTTGGGATGGCACGCTACTATGGAATTTCCTTAGGAATTCAGGCCTCTGTGGCCATTATCAGGTTGCCTTTGAAGCACAAGGGCCAACAGGGACGGGACAGAGGAGGCCTACCGCGAGAGGTCTGGGGTGGTGCGCGGAGAACTGACAGTCTAACTTCTCGGACTCCTCGGCTCCGTCCATCTCCCCTTCATCACTGGACAGTCGGCTGGCGAGGTCGCCTCCAGCTGGGGGCGGAGGGGGCTCCGGGGTGCAGGCGCTCTGATTCGAAGATGCACTGCTACTTAAGCTGTTTGCAGATGGCGGTCTAAGGGCGGGAGGGAAGAAGACATGGGTTTTCTTGAGGAAATCAGAGCCACCGATTCCATGCCACCAAGAAGCGGTCCTCCCACGATGCCGGGAAGGGTGGGCCAACGGCAGTTTCCTACAAAGGAAAGAGTAAGCCTCAGGGGTTGGCAGCTTCCTATGATGGCCCACGAGGGTTTGGTGCTTGTCCTCTGGCTGGCTGCCTCTGGGTACAGTACAAGCCCAAGGGAAAAACTCAAGTGTGAGCCCGAGACGTGAGCTCACCCAGAGCCTGTCTTATGTGAGTTCAGCGACAAATACCCACCCACGACCAAGTGTCGCCATCGCTTGGCTTACATCCTTCCAGACTTCCTTAGTGTACAACACATGATTTAAAAAAAAAAAAAAAACCTATGCCACTTTTTCAGCAGGAACAGGATTTGAGACAGGATCTCATGTACCCCAGGCTCTGAACTCCTGACCCTCATGTCTTTGCCTCCTGAGTGTTGGGGTCATAAACGTGTGCCACCCCATGCCCAGTTGACGCAGTTCTGGGGACCAAAGTCAGGGCTTCAAGCATATTAGGCAAGTATTCTACCAACCGAGCCACACCCTACTAGCCTCAGCCCTCGGGACAGATTTATTTTAAAAATTATTATTTTACGTGTATGAGAATCTTGTCTGTAAGTATGTCCGTCTGTCACTTGTGTGCGCCTGTGTCTGAGAGAAAGCAGAATCCTCTGGGACTTGAGTTATAGGTAGTTGTGAACTGGGAATTGTACTCAGGACCTCTGGAAGAGAAGCCATGGCTTTTAACCACTGAGCCATCTCTCTAGTCTGAACACATTTTTTAAAACTTAGTGATGTAGAACTCCTCTTGGATATTATAATTTTTTTTAATATCCTCCAGTAACATTTAATATCGATGCCACAATTTATATAGCTAAATCCTAAATATTTATTTCTAAATGTTTTGGAAGGCTTTTGGGTAGTAGTTCAGCCCAACTTAACAGGACCACCTTGTCCTGCAGGATAAACGTGACCTGGAATTTGTTAATTGCATCTTGGTCATACAGAAAAATAGCTTTATTTATTTATTTACTTACTTATCTGTTATTTAGAGACAGGGTCTCTATACAGCCCTGGTTGACTTAGAACTCTCTGCATAGACTAAGCTGGCCTCAGACTCACAGAGAAGTGACAGAGGAGGCCTCCTGCAAGGGGTCTGAGTGCTGGGATTAAAGACACACACCACCACGCCTGGCAAAACGTGTGCCACAAGCTGGCCTTGAGCTCGGGCCCCCTGCTGCCCCCGCCTCTTGAGCACGTCCCACTGCTTGTGCCAGCACTTTCCACTTTCCCTTTTCAAAGAAATCTTTACCAGGGAAATGTCATCATCTGTGCTATTCAAAAGACACTAACAAAAATGCATTATAATAACATCTCAAAATGTCAAAATCAGGATAGGTAAGTTTTCATTAATATGTCGCTATTTTCCAGTATGTAGGGGAGTTTTTATAAAAAAATGAAAATGGACACAAAAAGAGAGCGAGCAGCGCCACCCTGTAAGTAAGAAAGGGACTGAAGGATGTCCTGTTTTCTTCTTTTTATTTTTTCTCAGTTTTATAGAGGTGTATTAAGGTAACAAGGTCTTGTGTAACCCAGGATGGACTTGAACTTGCTGTGTAGTGGAGATCCCTGATCGTTCTTTACTGCCCAACATGTGATAGGAAGACAGGCATGGGCTCTACGTGCATCTTGTGAAATTATTATTTCAATCAAGTTAGTTAAAAAATTAACATACCCATCGTTTCTTAGAGTTACCACCTCCCACAGTCTACTGCGGATTGATCCAGGCTCTACGCGAGCTAGAGAAGGGTCTACCACTGAGCTCTAACTCCAGCCTTCTTTTTCAGTTTTATTCTGAGGCCGTTTCGCTAAGGTTGGTCTTGAACCCACTGGGTAGCTTAAGCCAGTCTTGAGCCTATGGTTTTCCTGCTGGGGAAGACCTTGAACTCCTGATTCTCCCGCCTCTACCTTTAAAGTGCTGGGATTACAGATGTGTGCTAAGTACCCTTCCTCCAGCATTGTGCTGTTTTTCTTTTACGTAAATTAGCCCAAGCTATCCTTGAAGCCACAAACCTCCTGGCACAGCCTGTGGAGTGCTGGGATTACAGGCATGCATGGCTATACCTGGGCCCACATTTCTTTACATATTCACCCACAAGCAGACACTTAGCTTGTTTTCATATCTTGGCGATAGTGAATGATTCTACAATAAACACCAGAGTGCAAAGCTTCCGTTAAATGAAGTGTAGGAATCACAGTCCCTCATCAGCTCCTCTCCCCAAATCCCACAACTAAAGGTACTTAAGGGGTTTTTAAAGAGGCAAGAAAGTCAAAGAACACAGAGCAGCAGAAAGACAGTGATTGTGACCCTGAATCCACGTGGGTCTTTTTAATTGTGTCTGCTAGTGATTGGCTTAGGAGAGTTGCAGAAAATCAAAGAACATTTATCGTGTGTGTGTGTGAAGGAACACAGGAAATCTCTGTCACATGTGTGTGAAGGCAGGAGGAAGTCTGTCTCTCTTCAACTCAGTTTTCCTATCAACCTAAAACTGCTTGGAATATAAATGATATCCAAGCGAATGGCTGAAGCACACAGATGGAATGGTCTCAGCTTCATCTGGACCTGGGACAGCTGTGGCCATCTTGCTGCAAGATTTGAAGGATAATTCAAAGGATAATTTTTTTTTTCTTTTTTAAGCTGTGTGGGGGTAAAACAGGGCCATTGAGATCCGCAGTGGTCAAAAGCACTGGCTGCTGGTGACCTGAGTTTAATATTCGGGAGCTACATAAAGGTAGGAGAGAACAGACTCCATGGGGTACCGCTCCCCCAACACACACATGGAGAGGGAGAAAAGAAGAAACCCATCTCTGGGGATTGGCACCCCCTCACCTGTGGATTCCTTGTCATACTCGGGACACATCATAAGGACACAAGTGTCCATAGCTCAGGGTTCTGCTATTCCCACCTGAACTGATACACATCTGAGCAGGTTTTCATAGACATTTAGATAATGTGGCTGGGGATAGGAAGCCCAGTACCTACACCTACTGAGGGGCTGCAAACTCTCCTGTTTAAGGCAGTAGGATCAGGAGTTCAAGAACAGCCTGGGCTATATATTGAATTCAAGGCCAGCCTGGGCTATATAGTGTAACCCTACCTCAATAAAGAAAAAAAGTAAACTATAAACGAAGATGAAACATAGCTAAATACGTAGTTGGTTTCCGTGCAGGTCATCTCCACATCTACCAAATACCACCCTGCCTGGCAGGACCCAACATTCTCAGGAGAAACAAAGGTCAGAGAAGGTGAACTGGAGAGGCCACAGACACAGGCTTCCAAGCACGTCAGAAAGCAGGAGTGAGGTGCAGGCTGCAGACAGAAGCCAGGGGCTGTCCTTAAGGACAGGCGCCTAAGCAGGCCAGACATCGAGCCGCATTCCAGCTGCAGGGAATCTTCCTGACCTTGGGCCTGGTGACCAGACGCTCTCTTGGGTTGCAGCTCCATATGGAGGCTTCCTGCCAACTTGCTGGGACCTCTCTTCCAGGTGTGTATTGTCAGCAATAGCCTGGCATCTCTAGAGCTCCAAGGCTCAAAGGGGGACCCTCCCTCAAAGGAACAAGGTGGGTAGCAAGAGGAGGCCACTAGTGCCCTCTCTGGCCTCCAAGTACACACACACACACACACACACAATCAATCAATCAATTAAAAATAAACTAAAAGACAATCTTTCACAAAGTACAACAAGGAATTTAAAGGAAAAAAAAATAAACTAAAAGATAAAAAAAAAATGCCCAGCATTCAACTAAGAAGAAGACAAGAAATGGAAAATACAGACAAGAGTGGGGCAAAAGGCATCTAAGATGCAACAGGAAAACAAGTACCCACTTCAGCCAACTGAAAAGGAGCTGCAGCCAGGGAGCTGTCTGTTGCCTGAGGTATGATGGTGTTCTCCCTACTGCATGTACTGGCTTTGTGGAAGCCTAGTCTGTTTGGATGCTCACCTTCCTACACCTGGATGGAGGGCAGGGACCTTAGACTTCCTATAGGGCAGGGAACCCTGACTGCTCTTTAGACTGGAGAGGGAGGGGGAGGGGCGGGGAGAGGGAGGGAAATGGGAGGAGGTGGAAATTTTTAATTAAAAATAAATTTAAAAAATTTAAAAAAAGAAAGGCAGAGGCAGGAGGATCTCGAGTTCAAAGCCAGCCTGGGCTGTCCAGTGAGCCTCGCTTTCCAAGAAGTGAAAGTAAATGATGAAAATTAGATACATTAGAGACAGCCCTGAAAACTTTCAGCGCCCCAGGCTATGGAGGTATAAGTTTGTCAGGACAAAGAGATAGGAGTCAGGATGTTAGACTTCGTGGCAAAGACTCCCTGTGCCAGCCATCGATGGGAAAATGGCTTCGAAATTCTGCAGAGAAGTGATTTCCAATCTAGTTGTATACTCAAAGAGATCATCTATTCAGTGTTAACGCAGAATGAAAATGTGCTTGCTGGGTAAGGACTCTAAAACTGATCTCCCACGAACCTCTTCACGAGCAGCCATCGAAGGAACTACTCCATCAAAGCAGAGAAGCAAGGCAGAGACAGGAACGCGGCAGGAGCCAGGAGCCGGCACAGCTGAAATACACCCACCCCACTGGCAGGAGCGGCTGTTTTTTCTTCAGAGCTTTCTGGCACTATTTGATTTTTGAACTATGAACCCATATATAACTTTGATAAAAATGAAGTTTAATTAAAGAAAAGATGGTTGAAACACTCGATAGTAAGTTCTAGTTGCCAGATAAAAGAGGGAAGGAGGTGGACAGAGGAAATTAGCGAGGAGAGCGGAACAAGACCCAGAACTGACCGAGTGGGCTCTGAGGTGGAGCGCCGATGAGACTTCTCTCTGTATGTCTGTCTGCATCCTCCTGGGGATGACGGGGTGGGGGACATTACTAGGGCCTCCAACTGAGTGCAGAACTCCGGGTGGAACCAGGGGGTGGGGGGCTTTTACCCGAAGCAGCCACACCTCAGAAGAAACAAGGCTTAGGAAGTGGTGGGAAGAAGTCACCAGGGTCTAGTGAGCAGAG